CGTTGCCGGGGTGCATCGGTGGGTTGAACTGGAGCCTTGACAGCCTTCAACGCTGGTTGCCGGGAGGCGGGTTGCGTTGAGGCCGCCTGCACTGGAGGGGGGTCGGGCATCTTGGCCAACAAAGTCTGTATGCCCGCCGTCACCTGAGACATAGCCTCCTCCAACCTGATGACCCGAGAGGACAACTCTTGAGATCCAGACCCGTCTGGAGCGAGGGGCTCGGGGTGTTCTGCCACCGGCTCCTCGGCAACAGTGAAAAAAGCAAAATGATCCTTGGCCACATCGACAAGCGCTTCGGCTGACGGCAGCGAATCGTCCGAGCCATCCCCATTGAAGAGAAGGACATTGTCTTCTAGATCCTCCTCCTCTCCAGGAAAAACTACACTTGCAACGAGATCCTCTCTCAGGAATCCCAACCAAACTCTCAAATTCTGTTCTGACACCGCCATCCTGTCGGATGACGGGCTCACTGCCACATCGGCCTGAGTAGCCTTCGCCAGGCCGTTCACCGGCAGTGCTCGTTGTGCTCGAAGCCTGTGCCATGCATTGATCGGAACTGCAGCCAAAACCATTCCCTCTAAACGGGAAATGAATATGACTTGACATGCCACCTCAGGAGAAGTGCACTGCAAAACGCCAACTGGATAGTTGAAATCAATTCGACCTTCTGACCAAACAAAGGGAAGAGGTAGTTCTTCGCCCAGCTCTTCCCCATCCGCGAATTCAGAGATGCTGCCAGCTATGCTCACGCCTCAATGGCACCAGCCCAACTGAACCCACCTGCTTCAACCACGATGCGAATGTCCTCAAGGGCCGGCAGGCCAATGAAGACTGAGTCTCCCAGATCCGAGCCGCGCTTCACGACCGGCTTGGCTTTCTCCCACTTTGAATAGACACGAACCGGATCGAAAACCTCCTCGTCAAAGGAGCGAACCACGAGCCAGTACCTGGATGCCTGAGGGATAAGGTCACGACCTGAGGATCCTCTGCGATGCCCTGACACTGCCCTACGTAGAAACTGACCGATCTGCCGGGCTGCCGCCGCCCGGGATGTCTCCAGCTGAGTGGCGGCAGGCACGGACGCTGCAATGCTGGGGGCTTGACTCGGCTGTGGGTACGAAGCTGAAATCACTGGGGCTTCACTGGACCTGATCTCTGAAACCAGGGTGAAAGTGCTATCCCTCTCTTCCTCGAAGGCCTCAGAAAAAGAAACCTGTAGGGCTCTGAGCTGGGTCTTGGTGATGCTCAGCTGGTTGTGCAAAGAATGCACTTCCCCCCTCAACAACTCAACTTGCTCTTGCAGTACTCTGAATTCCGCAAGGCTGATCGAGGTGCCAGGCATTCAATGCAGCCTATAGAGAGGCTTGGAGGTCGGTGCCCTGTTCACGGGCGAAGGTGGAGCAAGCAGATGCCTGAGGGCCCAAACACGCAGTGCCAACAGCACTTCCAAAAACGGCAGCAGGACCAAACCTACCAGCAATCCCAGGAAGAACGAAAGGCCGTCGAAATGCCAGGAGAGGTCGATCGACGGACAGTATGGCGCGTAAGGCGGGAGCTCGGCGTCTAGCAAGCTAAGGGCACGACCTACGGCTCGAGCCGTGTTCATGCTTGACCGCCGAAGTCGAAAAAACATCTGGTCATGACTGTCTCAGGTCTGGCAGGCTTAGGGTGGACAGTGGTCATTCCTCAGAGTGATTAGAACCTGATACCATTTTGGCTCAAGTGTGATCCAAACTGGCAGGATCTTCTTTTTGAGTAGGAGCGACCTGACGGAAGACTGAATGCCAGGGCGGGTCAGGGAAGGGATTGATGTTGCCCTTTTTACGGACCTCCAGGTACCTACTCCCGCGGCATGGCTGGACTTTGCGAGTCCGTGGTGGAGATCTTTCATGGGTTCCCTGTCTGGAGAGGTACTCCAAACCCCACACATGCCTCCAATCCGGCGCATCCCATACACGGAGGTTGCGAGCGACGCCTGGGAGGGTTTCGGTTTCCATGGCTGGGGACTTGGACGCGCCGTGCCGTTGTGGTCCAAACCGGCCTTTCGCCTCAGGGTGCATGGGATGCCTATCATGCCACCCAGGCCACCTTCGATCTTTTGGGGCTGCAGATGGTTACCACCGTACGGTATCTTCCCAGTGCCAGGCCGTGACATTACCATGGATGAAGTCTTGGAAGGCTGGCAAGATCACAACTTCCACATTATACATCAGTTGAAGCTCGGCCTTCATGATGCAGTCCTGCTTGAGCAGAGCGAAGCCGACGCCTCACAGGGATTTTGCACCGAGCTCCTGGCACATTCACAACTCCTTCGTCACCTACGAGGTGCACCCCATCGGCTGATCCCTCGCTGCATCATCGTCCAATCCAGTGGAAAGAAGCGTATCATTGACAATGGCGACACAGGAGGGCAATCCGAGTGTTCCTCCGACTTCAACAAGCTGAATTTGTGTTCTCCATTTCGTCCAGCTCAGCACATTGCAGTGGTGTGCGTCTCTAGACCAATGGACCTCTCGCTTGGAGTGGGACTCCTTCGAGAGCGGAGGAGAGGAGTGGCCAAACGCCTACAGACCCCTATCTCTCACGAAGAGTCCTTGGGATGCGTTGTGGCCTTTTGGCATGAGCGCTGGCAGAAGCCGGCCTTCCAACTTTACCATTCCCTCCTGTTCGGGCTCTCCCTCGCAGTGACGAGCTTCAACCGTTACAGCAGGCTGGCAGAAGCATTGGGCACAAGACTCTGCCTATGCCTGACCTCGCTCTACTTTGATGATGCGAACATTGTCGACTGGAAGTCATCTAAAGGATCCGGACAGGCAGCTTTCAACCAGTTGAATGCACTTATTGGCACGCCGTTCGCGGCCGAGAAGCGCCAGAAGATGGACACCACTGGGCTGTTCCTGGCACTCAACCATGACCTACGTGCGGTCGACCAGGGCACTGTGCGATTCTGGCCGCATGAGCGGCTCCTCGAAAAGATGGAGTCCTTCCAGGATGCTTTCACCAGCGGGTCATTGACATCAGGCACAGCTAGCAAGATTCATGGTATGATGAATTTCCTTGAGCAAGGAATTTATGGCCGCATCGGCTGCAGTGGGTTGCAGGTTATCAAAGCCCGCCAGCAAGAGGCCGCTCGCCGCCACTTATCCCCAGCAATCCACGAGAGCTTGACCTTGATTCGGACAGTACTGCAGCTTCGCCGTGCCAGGGTGACGGAAGTGATCCATCCGTCTGTGCAGAGGTTTGTGGTCGCCTCGGATGCGGCGCTTGAGACCCCCTTTGAGGGTACTGGTGGTTTCCTCATTTTATCTGGTTCAATGGTGCAGGAGAATGTCGCGAAGCTTTCGCTTCTCATAAGCCCAGCTCACTTTATAGCTTGTTCACCCCCGGTGAACGAAAGATTGCACAGCTTGAGCTGATTCAACTCATCTTTGCACTCACCACGAGACCACACCGGTTCCGTGGCCGGCGAGGTGTGTGGTTCTTGGACAACAGTGCCGCTTTGATGGCACTGATCCAAGGCAGATCGGAAGCCGAGGACCTTGAGCGAATGTCACAAATCGTGTATATCCTGCTCTTTGGTCTCCAGTGCTGGATGTTTTTCGAATGGATCCCGTCGAAAAGTAACTGGGCTGATGCTATCAGCCGTCTCGGTTTCCAGGATCCATGGCACGTGAAGCACGGGCTTTCCCAGTCAGAGGCCTTTTCCCCGTTCATCCTATGGCAACTGCCAGTTGCCGGCCTCGTTCGCGTTGCCGAATACTTGTAAGTTGGTTGGGAGATTTAAGTCTGGGGTGACCAGATGAAGCCCGGCCAGGTGAGACCTGGCAAGGAGTCAACTGGTAAGGAAGCGATCCTTTGTACGACGTACAAGCTTCCGACCGACTAGGTCTTGCGAAAAAGCGCGGAGCGCGCTTCACAGGATAGGATCCTAACAGTCTAGGAATGTATATATATATATGTATATACTATATAATCATGAATATATACACAATCTAATCCCCACAGATTGGCGTGAAGTCGACAACCCTTTGAGACTTTGGACCAGGTCCCTCCTCTCAACTTTTCGTTTTGAGCTGGACATCAGCCTCCTGGTCTACCAACCTCTGAACTACATCACTGTGACCCTGACCACTGCACAGATCGAAACCAAGGAGTACACGTGATCTTTTCACGTTTAGGGCAACAATGCACGGCCTTCTCGATGGCCCTTCCTTCTACCGGCGACTCTCGGGTCTGGGAAGGACTGCACACCTGCACCCTGGAAGACTTGGTTCTTTACTATGTGAATTTCACGTCGTATTCGCCCCATCGGCATCAACCATGAATTTTCACGTGGGTCGACATCCTTTCCCTACCGCCCGCTACACACGGTTGCTCCCCATCTACATGATGATGCCATTTGTCAACTGAGACTCCCGCTCACGGCTTACCAAACTTTCCGGGAACTTCGCCGGCTTTCATAGCTTTCACCAGCCCCACCCCTGTCCGGAGCCTAGAACAAAATATGCCTCCCTTTGGGGGGGCGTGTGTGTGTGTGTGCCCCTTGTAGTCACAGGGATCCATTCGGACTGCGCCTTTGTTCTTTTTTTCCTTTGTTCAGCAGGGGGACATGGCACCAGATTGCAGACCGTGTCTAACAAAGCTATGCAATCTGGTGGGATATCCGGCTTGGCCAGCTGGACGTACCTGCAAATTTTAACATGTGGTAAAGCGCTAATGCATCGGCAGTCCTGCACGATACGCCGTCATCCTGCTCGACCCGTGATCGTCGATTTGTTTCTTGCGCTTTGGGCCTCTCTTCCTTTTGCAGACCCCAGGCTTCGATGGTTCTTACCTGTACTCTTAGGAAATGGTAACCTAGGCTGGCGTGTGGCACCGCTGTCAAGTCAGTACGCATTTCTATAAGTGTGTGTGTGTGTGTGGGTGATATTTAGGTTTTGACATGGACAAGTGAGGACCCGTCTCTTTGGCTGCGGCAATACGGCATGCACATGATCAGCCTTGTTTCATCGAGTGCCTCATCGGTAGGAACGATTAGCACCTGAGGTGCACAGGTGGAGGAAAATAAAGACAAAGAGCTTCATTGGCATTAGGAAGCTTCAGCGTCTCCATCACAAGGTGTGCCTGTACGTGTTCATTTGTGTGTCCTTTCTTTCAGGTGGCTTATATCATTGAAGTTCTGCAATAGCTTCTCCGTACTTTGCAGTACGTGTGCCCTATCCAGAGGCGCTTCCAACTGAGGCACATAAAGCTCTTCCAAGGAGTGCAAGTCAAAAGCATAGATCGAAGCTCCGGCAAAGAGGAAGAGCCTGCCGGCAACCTTATAGCGCATCCGGAATGCTGTGAACGAAACGGAAAGGCTCGAGCGTCACCAACAGCTTTAGACCACCATTTTGGATGTGTCAAAATGCAGGTTTTGGAAAACGGTCAAATTTGAACGTACAGGTCTAACAAATCTCCATCTGACAAGACAGGGGTCAAAATTGTAAGTTACATGTTTGACCCTCATGTGTGTTTGTTCGGCCTGTACGCACTCAAAAATTGTAAGTAACATGTTTGAGGGTAAGGTAGAAGCATGGGCCCTCACCCTCAAAATTGTAACTTACAATTTCCCATCTGTAATGAAAAACGATGACAAAGATTCCGCACGGCCTTTTTCCGGGAACTAATTGTAATATGGCTTTGAGGTGCACTCTGGTACACCCTGCGCAGTGTTTTTTCCTTTCATGTTCTGGCTTCAACATTTCTCTTACGAAATTCAAGAGTGGCAGAAGGAAGTTCTAATTGTTATGTGGACTTGTGGGCGCACATCAAAACGAAAGCAACGCTGACGGGGGGGGAATTGTAACTTGCTCCGTGAGGTACCCACCCATCCATTCCTACAATTTGGACCCCCCCTCCCCTTCATGTCCAACGGGTTAAGCACCGCAAGGGGGTAGTGATACTCAGTTGCATTTTGGAAGTTCAGCTGAAGAAGTAGAACGGGTTAGACACCAACGGCTTGATTTAAAGCATTTTAAAGCTATTCTCTCTCTCTCTCTCTCTCTCTGGCGGGCATGACTCGTCCCGGAGTCGTCTCACGGAGACGCCCAACGGCAACTTCCCCTAAAGGCCGTGGGAGACTAAGATCGAAAATGCAGACATCTGCCGGGCCAGGGACGATATGACAAGGATGCATCCGCAAAAATGCGGGAAGGTGCTAGGCAGAACGCTACCGGGGCTCACTAAACTCAGAAGGTGATCAGGAGGCAAAAAACAGGCACCATACTCTCCCAAGTACGTCGGTCTTGTGCCAAATGTTTCCAGTGACTGTGGTAGAGCGGGCGGACATGTTTGTCTAAGACTCGGTCGAGGCCGGTAGGAGGGAAGCGTCCAGGACCAGGATGTTGGACTCGGTGCCTGGCGGAATGCCGCCATTCTAAGTCGATTGTCTGGAGTGGAGGACATTGGCGGCTGGGTTATGTCGGGCGTCTGCTCTGGCCAAATGGCCCGCATAGCGCCACAAGCGCTTGAGATAGGTGAAGCCAAAGAGGTCGATCCCATGTTCCCGGACAAGTTGCTTGGCCAAGGTGCCGGGTACGAATTTCAATGTCCAACCAATGCCCTCAAGCATGTCTCCCAAGCTTTAGGACACGCCTGGTCATAGTGACATGGAAAGCGTTGAGTTTGCAGACGAGGTGTTTGGAGTGGTGCCAGACCTGCGCGGCCCACAAGATGCAGTTCCCCACCAAGGCATTGAGCGCTCGGAGCTTGGGTTTCCAAGGCCCGGTGATGCGAAGAACCTCGCGTAGGGCGAGAGGCTGTGGTCATGGCTGCATCTGGAGTATGAGTGGAAGCACCTTTCCAGCCCAGCGTGCATCCTAGGATCTTGGTGGGGTGGCCAGGCAACTGCGCAGGCACATCACTGCCGCAAAGCTGAAGGGAGGGAGTGCTCACATTCCTGTAGGCATTTGCAAGGACAAGACATTTGGTGAGGTTGATGCGAAGGCCTGCCCCAGCCAAACTGTCCGGCAAATCCAGAACCATGGAAGCCAAACTGGCCTGATTCGGTGCGATGAGGAGGAGGTCATCTTTGTGGGCAGCAATGGAGTACAAGACATTCAGAAAAGGGAGAACTGTGGGAAGGCCGCGGAACTGCCTGCCAGTCTTTGGCAAGGCCGTGCAAGAGGAGGTCAACGACCAAACTGAAGAGGAAGGGGCATGCGGGCACTTGTCAGCATAGACATCCCAAAGGGCATCGAAAAGGGCTGGCCATGAGAGGGAGTCAAAGGCTTTGGAGATGTCGGCTTTGAAGAGGAGGCAGGGGCGTTGCCATTTGGGGGTCTTATGAATCAGAAATTGCACAGCCCAGCCGCAGCGACACCGAGAAGTTGGTGGCCTGGCATCCCACAACATTGCCCGCCAGCAAAGGGGGGAGCAGCAGTGACAAGCCGTCGGAGAAGCATACGTGTCCAGAGCTTTGCCATAGAGGACAAGAGACCAATGGGACAGGTTTGGCCCCACTTGGTGGGCTGCGCAATCTTGGGAAGCAGGCTGAAGACAAATGTGCACCATTGGGTGGGAGGCTCTTCTTTGGCCAGGTACCCGGTTGAAGTCTCAGAGGAGCAGGCCCGGCGCAGGAAGTCATTGGAGACAGCATCAATACCCGAAGTCTTGTTGCAGGGCATCGGAGAGGGGAATGAATGGGGACCAAGTGGACTGACATGCACGAGCTTGCATGTGCAGAGCTTGTTGAGCTGCGGGAGCCAAGCTGCACGGCCGCGACGAACAGCACGCAGAGCGGCCCAATCTCCAGTGCCGGCATCGTGGAAGAGGCAATGTCGCCACGATGTTTTGGCTAAAACGGAAAAGTTCCTTCCAAATGCTGACGCGGCGCTCGAAGTGCAGTTCATGCCTGGCCTGGTGAAGGAGGTGCCGGACATGCGGTGGGTCCTCGTATTTGCGAGTTTTGGGGTAAGCAATGGTGTCCTTGGCGACGGCTTCCCAAGTTCGCAAATCTCCAAGCTGGAGTTGGGCCAGGTGGCAGGCCTGCAGTGGTTTGCACTTCCAGCGACGGCACCAAGAATGCTTGCGCGATCTGCAAGCTGCGAGGAGCTCGTGGTCACTAGCCAGAGTGCACATGAGTAGGGATGTCTGGATCAACCCGAGGGACCAAGTGAAAGCTGTGTACTGCAAGAGTATCCAGGAAGTAGCGGCTACGATCCTCCGTGGGGAGGGCCTCGGAAGGTTCTCCTGGCCCCTGGAGTCCGCAGGAGCATGGTTCACTTGACAATTGGCATCACCAACGAGGAATGCCCGGAGGCCACGGGCTCTGCGACATGCTTGCTCTTTGCAGATGTGAAAGGGCTTTGCAAAAGAGGGGCTCAGGACGACCAGCATGAGGTAGGTGAAAGGAGCAAAGGAAAATTCGGCCAAGGCTGACATGCTCAGCAATACACCCAACTACCTGCCCATGCAAGTCGACTTGGAGCACTTGGGAGAAAACGGTCTTGTGGAGCAGAATGGCGGAAACCTCCGTGGCACCGACCCGTGACAACCCAGAAGTCACCAGAGTCAACGACGGCAAGGCCCTCTGGCTCCGCCCCGACCTCCTGTACGAAAACAAAGTCCAGCTCACAATCTAATTCGAAGAAATCGTGCAAAGATTTTCCAGCAATGTTCCATGTGACCCAATCAACCACGGTGTGTCCACTGCTGGCCTTGGAAGGCCTTCAGTTGAGGTGGTCACGCATGGCACAGCGTACCGTGGCGGTGTCGAGTTGCAAGACCTGGGAAATGACGAGGATGTCGATCCAGCCAGGATCAACAGCTTCGTTGCCTTGTGAGCTCACCTTCTTCCCCATGAGCCACAGGGTGCCGGTGGAGCATTCGATATCGAGTTGGTCCGCATTCCCTTTGTCGAGAGATGGCTGCAAAGACAGGATGGCTTTCAGGGCGACTGTGGCTACCGAGGCTCGTTTCCTCTCAGTCGAGGTTTTGGATGGAGCGGCCCACAATTTGGTGCCGTTGGAGTGGGTGTAGTTTAGGTCCCGAACGGCCTGGACGACTTTCCAAATGCCTGCCCGGTGATGATGTTCAGGGTGGAGGCGGAGAAGAACAAAGGACCTGCGCTTCCCCGCCACCACTACTTCCTGTACAAACTCCTTCGTCCCCGACTTGATGAGGAGACCCTCGACTTCTCGCTGCAAATCAGCCCGCTTGGTAGAATCGTCCAACCTCCCAAAACAACTTGGCATGGTGTTGGTCCTGGGTGTTGGGGGGCAGAGGAGAATGCTCCTGGGGTGGTGCTGGAGGAGCTTTGGGAGCTTCTTCGAGCTTGGAAACGCGATCTTCCAAAGAGCCCCCTCGTCCCTAATCCCTCCGATTTCCTCCTTGATCTCCTTCTAGTTGGGTGCTGATGGCCTGCTCCAACTGTTGCTGTTGAGAGTTCAGTAGTTCCCGAATGGAAGTCATCATGTCAGGCTGTTCCATGCGAGGCCTTTTACTACTGTCAGCTTCCACCGCCATGCTAAAGAATATCAGAGAACCTCGAGGTATGTGTTTCTTCTTTTTCTTGAGCCGGTCGGTTTGAGCCGTAGCCATTTTGGTAAAGCTATTCGTCCTGGGATTACTTTTGAGATCGTTGGCGCCTTCACCGGCTGGAGCTGGCTAGGAGATGCAGCTGCTTGGCACAGTTGACCGTTGCTGATAGTGTCCTTAAGCTTTTGCTCTCTGGACAGAAGCATTCCTGGTCTGGAAAGGAAGCTGCTTGGGAGGAGTTTGGAGATCTTTGGAGGCTCTCTTTTCCGGGCTTGAGCTTTCAGAGTTTGTGTGTCCCAATCTAGTGACTGTCTGCCTTAGGGGTGGGTTTGCCTCTACCAACTTGCACCGACCTTTTAGTTTTCTTAATTTTCTTGGACACTAAGTTGACTATATAAAGGGTTGTCGATGAGTTCCGCGTGAACACACAACATGTGGCGGCCTGAAGGCTACACAATGCTCACTACATCCGCAGCAGCCTTGGTTCGCATCGGCCTTGTTGTACAAAAGGAAATTGTTGCGTCGCTCAGCCGTACTTGGACTGGGTGTCTCAATCAGTGGCTGGATTGGGGCACGACTCATCCCACCGAACCATGGATGAGTAAAGGAGAATAGTGTTCAGACTATACAGACAGCACTGGCGCTAGTAGCAGCTGTGGTTCTGCCAAAGGCCTTCAAGATGGGGCAGTCGGGTAGTGTATGGATGTGTATGGTAGTGCCGTGAGCCTGTTGATCATGTTCGCCCAGGGGCATGTTCCACAAACAGGCGCAGCCCTTCCAAAACATCACCATCAGCCGCCAGGTTTGACTTGACCCGACAAGAACAAGTGTCGCGTGCAGTCTGGCACATTTCGTCCTTAGTTCACAGAGAAGCCAATCCGAAAGTGCTGATTCTCAAACAGCCCTCCATCACGGCCAGGTGCAGCGCAGATACTGAAAAGCACCATCTTTCCAAATCGAGGGCTCTCGTAACCCCAACAACTTCAGAAGGGCTAATTGGTACCACCTAGAAGCAGCAGTTAAGCAGTTGGCTTGCGACATTGCGACAATTTCACATCTTGACTGCGTCGATGTCTAAAGAACGGTGCGTCAAGCCGTCAAGCCACATCAAGGAAGTCAGCGGGCCTCAAAGCGGCAAACAGCATCGACCCAAGTGACAACTGCAGGTTCGACTGCAAACAAGGAAAGTTTTTGGTAGGCACCCGTGTCGCCTGAAAGATTGGATCAGGCTTTGTTTGGATGGCTGAATTCGGAAGATTGCGACTCGCTCCTTGGAAAGCAGCATCATCTGTACAAGAAATAAGTAAAAATAAGTCACAAATACGTATATACTGTACCTGCAGCATTCCAGCAGACTTAGTCCAAGAGTCGTCATCACCCCCAAACACAACAGTGTGACCGCCCTGCAGCAGTCGCGGTGTTTCCTTCCGGTGGCTAACACCCAGCAAATACTCGCGAGCATGAATGCACTGCTTAGTTCTTGAGGGCGTTTCTGCCCCAACGGCAATCTCAGGAAGTATTTTCTCTAGTCATGGTGATCGAAAGCTCATTCTTCTTCAACGCTCCGACAGCTTCGGCAACGCTGACCGCGCAAACAGCGCCAGATTTTGCATAAGAAACGGAGACGCTGCCTCGAAATGGATGGTGGCTTTCGCCGGAAAAGCCTTGTCCAAGTAATGCCCTGCTCTCAAAGAACGGTGAAAGGCCCGAAGTCTCAAGTATAGTTGGCGCCAGCCTGAGTAAAAGGAGATGGCCGCTCCCTTAAATATCTATTCCAGTGCCCGGGTAACCCCCAGGAATAATTTTCCAGGAATAGCTTTAAAAGCCACTCCTGGAATAACTTATGCACACAGACTAGGGGGTACCTTGGATTAATAATCCAGTAATCCAGACCAACCTCTGCCTACCTCTGGGTGCATGGATCTTTAGGGGGAAAAGGTCGCGGCCTCAGCACGTTGCAGATTCTGAGCATTTTGCAGATTCGCGGCCTCATGCTTTTCACATCTGTTCACAAATGATTCCAACCATGTAGGTCACACCCAGGAATAATTTATCCACATGTATGTGCATAACCCTGGAATAATAAAGAAAATATTCCAGGGTACTACCCACATGGTCCCTACACAAGGCAGGAGCCATAAAAGGAGTACAAACTGAATTTGCCCCAAACCCTGTTTCCATACACTTTTCTCTAAATCGAGGTGCAAGTGGAACTGGTTTCTGCGCATGCTGCGTCAAGAAGTCCCAAATAGCACAAATACCTGCACACTGCACGGCGCTAGGCAGGCCACCGGTCGCACATGACAGAGTTTGGGGATGCTGTGTTTGCAACAAATCTCAGGCTGCCCTGGCACTGGGCGCAAACTGCCCCGAACTCGTCCTGCCGTCATACTGCACAGGCTAGACAGCATGTCCCATCTGATTCACCTGCTTTGCCTTGCCTGCATTGAATCAAACCCTGCACTGTTTACTCTGCTTTCGTTCTGTCTTCCTGCTTCTGTGGTAGAAAAATCTCCAAACTGCTCCTTGCACTGGCCAGCCCAATCAAAGGCCAGTGCTGGCTCGCTACAAGTGCTAGCAGCACAGCATAATGCAGCACACGCCTTGAAGTGTGGCACTGTGCGACCGACTGGCTAAAAGCATATTGTGCAATGGTGCAACAAACGGTTCATGGCCTCGGGCCCGACTAGTGAAGCCACCAAATGGCCAGCCTCCTCCATATGCGTCAAGGAACATGTTTGACAGCCTTTGTCTGTGGGCGGACGGAGAGAGAGAGAGAGAGAGAGAGAGAGACAGAAAGAGAGAGGTCCGTAGCCATTTTGGCTCAAGTTTGGCTCAAGGTGGCTCAAGCCGGACTGACCGCCACTGCCACCTCGGAGGGCACTGGTACATCGTGATTGCAGAGCACTTTGACCTTTCCTTTTTCCTTTTTGAAGGGCATCCATACCTTTGCCCGTAATCCGAGATTGACGAGTGCACCACCGTGTTTGTGCCGTGGCATGATGGGGACCTATGCCCAGGACTATGTGAAGGTGAGATCCAGGCGGAAGTATGTGGCCTGTTGTGGCTGCAGCTCATCGTGGATCTGGGCAGATCGGATCAATGCTCAGAGATGGGGGTGCAATCAATGTGGCACTCCATGGCCTGGTGTTGATGGTGACTGGAAGACCACCTCCCCAGTCAAGAAGGCGCGGAAGCCACGAGGACGAGTGCGGCCACAGGTAGGTCCACCTCCAGGACTTGGACCAAAGACCAAGCACATCCCAAGTGCCATAGAGTCCACTCTCAAGAAGGCATGGGGGACGCTGCCGAAAGAAGCTCATGAAGCATTGAAAGCACTTGGCATTGACTTCACACCTGAGCCGGAATGCCCACCGCTTGAAGAGGTGTTGAAAGCGCATTTAGAGTCATTGCCTTCAGAGGTGAAAGAGGCAGTTGTTGGCTTGATCAAGCCAACACCAACGGTTGCAGTTGACGTTACAGGGCAGCTCAAAGCAACGGTTGGTGAATTGAGGCAACTGGCCACAAAGAAGCAAGCTCTGCAGAGGAAAGTTGACCAGGCCAAGGACCACTACTAGATGTTGCTTGATGAGCTCAAAGCTGTACAGGAAGCCATAGACAAAGAGCACAAGCAGCTAGGTGACCAGTCGGAAGCCTACGCGAAACAGCTGAAGGCTGAAGCGGTCACGGTGACATCCACCGGGGATCATGTCCTGGACAGTGATGCCACAGAGCACGTCCTTAAAGCACTTGGACAGGCTGGCATCATTTTCAACTCCGATCAGCAGAAAGAGCTTGAGAGGAATTTGGCTGAGACCATGTCCAAGCGCCGCAAGACTGATGAAAGTCAGTTGAGCGGGTAACAGCAACTGGATGGCTGGTGCAGCAAAAGGGTTTGACAGAAGTGCAAGCTGTCTTACAGTGAAGGGGTCCTGGAAGATGGCAAGTGCTGGTCAACAAGACAGACACGGAATTGGGGAAACTTCAAACACTTGGGAATGTTTGAATGTTTGGAGGGAAATCGAGTCAACAAACTGTGCTTGGGGTTGTCAGCAGTTGGTTGAAGATGGCTTGCAATGCTGTTGGTGTGACGCACACAGTGGACATAAGGCTCATTTTCGTCACGAACTTCAAGGATTGCAGCCGTATGTGAGTGTGAACGATTATCATGAGCCACCCTTTCCATGGATGCATGATGGAGGCAAATTTGGCATTGATTTGGGGGTTGATCATGCCTGTTCAATTTTGACATCTTCCAGGGCAGGCCTGAGCCATGAGATGATGGCTTCCAACCCTGGTGGATATGGACATGATGGATGTGGGAGCGCACAGAATTCACAGGACACGCAACTGAAAGGAACCCCTTGCGCAAAGCTGGAAGGGGATAGACCTGCTCAGGACATGGCGTCTTGTGAAACGAAAGATGGAGAGGATCCAGAAGGGGCTGAGGGAACCTCTAGTTCAAAGCAAATGGAGGCTAGACCCTTTGAGGAGAGCCGTTCACAGGTTACTGGAGTTGGCCAAGCAGTGTCAGCAGTCAAGAGCATGGGTTCAGAAGATGTTGACGATGCAGCCCGGTCTGGGACGCACCTTCGGCAACACAGAGGCTTAAAAACAGCTGTATCAGATACATCTGCCGATCTTGAGGACAAGCGCGCAGAAGATGTTGACCGCGCGCCCTGGTCGGGGCAAAATTTCCGACATCACGGGGGCGCATGGGAGGAGACTGAAGGGGCACTGTGCTCTATGTTCTCAGAGCGGCCAGGCTTGCCTGGACCTGCTGATGACAGGACCCTGGAAGCTCCTTCACTCCTTGGCGGAGGCAAGCGTGGTCATGCATCCACTATGGAAGACGTGCTGGAAGATGTGGAGCCCACAGGTGATGATCACCTTACTCCTGGGCATTTGCAAGACAGAATGATGATATTGCAGCAAAGAGCGATGGAAGCACTGCAGGCTCTTCCGGCTGACTGCCGGGAGGATTTGGGCTTTGGCAAAGTGGAGACCCGGGTTTGGGGCCTTGAGGCTCTGAAGCACATCTTGAAGATGCGCTTAGCGCTCCAGAGTAGCTTACCACTGACGAGGTTGGTGGAACATGCACCAATGATTCCACCGGCCAATGAGTTGTTGGCAGCCAACTTGACCCTCACCCTCGGAAACAAAGGCAACAGGTGCTATGCCAACACTGTGCTGCGCCTGTGGTGTTGGATGGGTGCACATCACTCAAAGCCCAAGGAGTTTTGGGGGCCTTCAACCAACCTATGCCTCCAAATCTTGCAGCAGGATGCCATTGAAGACATCTTTTGGGCGTCGGAGTTGCAACCGGCCCTGGCACGATTGGAGCATCCCCAGCAACAGCATGATGCTAGTGAGTTCCTTGTTCACCTGTGGGAACTATGGGGGCAGACTGGATTGCAGGGCAATTGGCATTCGCTGTTTGGTGGCCGGGAGCATGAGTTTGACACCATACCCCTGTTTATCCGTATGCCAGTTGATGCAGGTGATGACGTCAACTTTGAGACGCTTCTGAGTGACTGGGCTAATGAAGCCAGCGGGCAATGTTTGGGCAGTGAGGTGGAGCATATAGTGTTTCATGTGGGTCGCTACTCCCTAGATACTGCAGCAAAGGCTTGGGTCAAGCACCACAACCGCCTGTATACACCATCCAGCTTTCGATGCCCGCAGAAGACTTCGACTGGCCACGCAAGGCATTCCACATTTGTCCTTCGTGGCATCATAGCCCACCAAGGAGAACAACTGACTTCGGGGCACTATGTGGCTATGCTGGTGGCTGGAGATGCAGTGTGGACTGTTGATGATGGTGAGTGCCCGCAAGTCCAGCAGCATGTGCCTGAGTACATCCAGCGGGGTGCTGTCATGATCTGGGCCTCCAAAGCGGAGCATAGCACCTTCTGGACCCATTCCATTGGAAGCTTTGATCCACCACCCAAAAGGCCACGCACAGGTGGAGAGGGCATTGAAGTTATGTACAGCAATGTCACGCAATGGAACAGAGATGCCAGAGAATGGTTGCTGCAGCAGGACCTCCAGTTGGCCATGCTGGTTGAGACACATGTTGCTGGCACCAAGCTGACTACAGCGGCCCATGAGATGGCCAGGAGCCGCTGGCAGGTCACTGCCATGGAAGCCTATGAAACAGGGCGTGGTGGCACTAGTGGTGGGCAGTTTTTCTGCAGCAGGGAAGGTCAATCTACCTACCAGATTCACCACTTTGACAAGGCTGGCAATGGTTTCCTTGCCAACGTTGTGCAGCGCCAGAACTGGGAAGTTGTCCTTGTCTCCATCTATTTGAAATGTGGTGAAGACTTGAATTCCACCAATAACGCTGCAGTCTTGGGGGAACTTGCAGCTTTCCTGGGTGAGCTGGCGGTCCCTTGGCTTGTCGTTGGCAATTTCCAAGTGCCCCCTGCACAGTGGCATGGACATCAGTTGCTCAACGTCCTCAAAGCCGAGGTGGTCAGTGCAGGACAGCCTACCATGATAAATGGGGCGGAAATTGACTACGTGGTGGCCAGTCGTGCCTTGACCCCTTTCATTGACATCAAGGTCAACTGGGATGTGCCGTGGAAGCCTCATGCGGGCCTCGTGATCACCATCGACAGTTCTGCCCCTCGGCTTCATTTGTCGCAGGTGACACAGTATGCTGCCATGCCCAAACTGCAGCACGCTGCCAAACCATGGGAAGAATTCCGGGCGGCGCCAAAACCCTACTGGCTGGGGCGCACCATGGGTCCCAAAGAACTGCAATGCGCAGAGTGGTGTCACAAAGCAGAACAATATGCACTGCAAAACCTGGCAGAGCCTCGTTGTGGCAGAGGGTGGTATCTGGCGATTGAGCTCAAGCCATTGCCCATGACTCGGCCCCTCACCCCGTGGAGGAAAGGAGATTTGGCATACTGGGGCCAATTTTGCTCCCTGCTGTCCCACATTGAGCACACAGGGCGCCTGAGTCACAATGTCATGCTGCACTTAAGGGCCAAGGCGGCTGACTTGGCGATGCGCTGGCAGAATGTGCATGGGGATGCTGCTTTCAGAGAAGCCCTGGAAGACCTGCTCTCGGGCATTTCAATGCCCTTGACCCTCCTTATGAAGGGAGCCGAGGCCAATCGGGACTTTGCCAAGAAACTTGCCATGCAGCAGCAATCTCAGGATTATCAGGCATGGCTGACTCAAGCGGCCTTGAAGGGGCACAGTGGCATTTATAAGCGCCTAAAAGCACCAGATGCAGTGCATGTTCGGCCTTTCCGCAATGTACCAGTCCAAGATCGGCAGCAGCTGCGAGAGCAACAATGGTACAGCAAATGGCAGGTCATTGACAAGCCAGCCACATCAGGAGAACGAGAACGGCTCCGATGGGAAGGCATTGCGCAGGCCCGGCAATGGGCAGACCTCGATCCACACCAGGTCATGAAGCAGCTTGCCAAGCTGCCACAAAAGGCCAGTGGCCCTGATGGCATCAGCTACGCCCTTCTCAAGAATCTCCCACTGGAAGGAGTGATTGACCTGTGCCACATGTACCGGCAGTGGGAACTGACGGGCCGTTTGCCTGAGCAAGCCTGCACAACGTTGGTGGTTTTGCTCCCCAAGAAAGAGGACATTGAGAGGCCCATCAGTCTGACTAGTGTCCTATATCGTACTTGGTGTAAACTGAGATGGGACAAGCTCAAACATTGGCAGAGCATTGTTGGTCAAAGGCTCCCTTGGGAACGCAGCATGCCGGGTATGCAGGTCCTCTACGTTGCCCTGATGAGACTGCTAAAGTGTGAAGTCGGCCGTGCCACAGGGCGCCATGTCGTTTCCCTGCTTCTGGACTTGCAGCGCTTTTATGATTCTGTTGAACTGGAGCAGCTCCTTGATCTGTGGGAACCTCTCAACTTCCCACCCGCAATCTTGAATGCGGCCTATGAAGTGTACTCGGGGCCTCGCCTGCTCCAAGGGGGAACAGATCACCTCCAGGCCAGTCCACTGCAGGAAAGGCATCTTAGCCGGATGCCCAGTGGCCCCGCTCATTGCCAAATTGGTGTTGGCCCCTGTCATTGGCCAGTTCACTGAAAAGTTCCCCAAGGCCTCAGTTGATGTGCGGGTGGACGACATCTCAGTGGACTTCACGGGTAGTGATGCAAATGTTGTCAGCAGGGAGGCGCTGGATGGGTATGAGGAGCTGAAGCAGGGCCTCGAACCTGAGGTCCATGAGCTTCTCAAGGATCTTGGCCTGGATTCAAGCGGAGGCCGCCGGAGACGCATTGGGGCTCAGCAAAAGCGCCTATTGAAAGGCAGAGGTCGTCAAGCCAAACTGCTTCATCTGAAACTCCGATCCAGACCAGTGAGGATTCGCATCTGGAAGACCTCTGTGCATGCAGCAGCTGGCTACGGGCTGGAAGCGCAAGGGATTGCGCCACAGCGCCTCCGCACCCTGCGACACCAACTTGCACGTCATGGTGGGCTCCAAAAGGGAGGAAGCGTGGACATTGTTTACGATCAACATGTCAAGCTCCAGGCTCCCAAGGACACCATAGTTGAACGACAGATGAAAGCCATGCACAGACTCATCCAGGTGTGGCCACCGTCGCAACAAGGTGAGCTGCGTGCTGCATGGCGTATCTCCTGGAGGCGCCTTAGCGCTGCTGCCTACCCATGGATGGTCGTTGCCGGGCCTATGGCTGCCCTCCAGGCCTACTTGATGGACATGGGCTGGGATGCGGAGGATCTAGATGACTGGATCAGAGCTCCTACTGGAATCATGCCACCACAGCAACTGAACATAGGCCATCCCTGGCCGCATTTGCAGCGTCAACTCCAAGCTGAACAGCGCTTGCAGCGTGCCAGACGCATCCAGGAGCTGGAGCATTGCTTCCCGTTGATGAGGAAGCCTGACTGGACGGTGTACCACCGTGTGATGCGCAAGCTCAAAGGAGTGGCCCGGTCAGCTGTGGATGCATGGACGCAGGGCTCACTGCGTACCCGCATTGGGGGAGACCGTGTGATGTGCCCACTGTGTCAAGTCCAGGTGACCATGAAACATCTCATTTGGGAGTGCCAATATCATGAGCATGCTTTGCCGCCTTCCTGGGCTAGAGACATTCAGGCCAATGAGCACACCATGCTGTGGTCGCGAGGACTGGTTGAGGTGCCGGATCACAGGATCACTGTGGGCATGGATTCACTGGAAGTCCATGGTGTGTTTGCTCATGGGTGGCCCATCCGTGTCCCACCCAGTCAGCGGCTTGCCATTGCTGTGCGTCCCACTTGCAAGGAGCCCCGCCTGCGGCATTTTGTTGTCTCCATCATTGTGGGAGCGTGGCAGGATGACTCGTGGCAGCTCACGGGCAAGTGCACATGTGTTGCCCCTGGCGAGGCCACGGAAGCCCGAGCATGGTTCTTCGGCTGCTGGCTGCTGCTTCAAGCCACCCTTGGCCATCACCAGGTCAATGTGGCGCATCGAGCTGGATGGACAGCGCTCAACAAAGGAGGCAATGGCACGTGTGCTCCTGATCTATGGCATAGTCTGCCTGCAGAAGAATGGAAGCGGCTGAAGATCCTCCATGTTCCAAAGAAGATGCTACGTGCCACTGGTGATGATAGGAGGGCATGGCTTCAGTTTCAGGAGGCTGACATGTGTGCACAGAACAGGGCGGTCAGCCTTGCCCCTGCGGAGGAAGTCAGGCAGCTGCATGATGATGATCAATGGCACCAACAGGTCTATGAAGTGGCGGCTCAAAGGATCAGCATGATCCTCACTGACACAGAGCACTACATGCATGGAAAAGTTGAGCCTGTGCCCACCCCTTACAAGGTCAAGGCTGTGAGACCGAAAGGGCGCCTTGACATCCTGCGTCGGTTGACCCAGCAGGAGCGCAGGGAAGGGCAGCACACATGGGCTCTCCACGGGCATGGCATCAAATGTCAAACTTGTGGCCTCCACATCAAGAGCTGCTCCACTCATGAGGAGATTGCGCGGAAGCAGGCCACGAGCTGCAATGGAGAGATGAGCCGCACCCTCACCCAAATCAAGTTGGATATGGTGGAAGCCACTGAGGCGCTGGATGAAGCTCAGCCTGGGCACAGGTGGTTCAGCAGGCCCAGTTCCTTTGGCTGTTACCGCTGCTGGCTGAAAATTCCCGGGCGCTCCAGCAAAGAGGCGGTGCAGCAGCTCAGTGCAAAGCCTTGTGAGCATGGCCCGGTGGACGTGCAGACTTTGGAGCTGAGAACGAAGGCCAACTCGCAACATGTCTTGTGGAAGCGAGGTGACTGGTTGGAGTGCCAAAAATGCCACCGTGTGACTAAGATTGTGCACGGACGGGCCCAGTCTTGGCTGGCTGGAGAGTGTGCTGGCACCAAGAAACAGAGCAAGCTGCGATTTGGGCCGAGCTCTGAAAGCTAGAGGCCGAGTTCGGTAGCAGTTGTGAGATGCTCTCTTGAGAGAGCTTGGAGTACAAGGCGAATGAGCCTTGCTCCCATGTGTACATCTAGCCACTTTTGCCTTGTTGGTGTGGCTTGGGACTTGGCAGACTGAAAAGAACCGAGCACCAAAAAAAAAAAAAACAGAAAGAGAGAGCGCGCGCGCGTGCGCGCGCGGGTCCTGCAAGGCTTTCTTCGAAGAAGGCAACATGGCCCGGAGTTATCCATGACACAGGAGCATGGTATCAATACCCTTGTGACACAAATACTGTAAGACAAGCAAATCATTTGAGTGGTCAATGAGTCTTTCGAAAACAATATCACCAACACCATGAGAATTGTTTTGCTGCAAGCTGCAATTCCAGTAGCATTTTGACATGCCATGCAAACCCTCCGATTCCGCTGACTGAAGCTGCAACGTACAACGTGTGTGTGAAAAAGAACTTTTGCCTCAAGGATTGAGCTGCACGCCACGGCAAAGCCCAGAGTTAGGAAATCTGAAGCATCAAAATTGGGCTGGGCTGGGCAGCTACAGCTATGCCCTTTCTGCGGTATATAAATGAACTAGTAACTAGAAAGAGGCTCCGGGACTCCCTGCCAGGTTCCCACCTCAAGCGCTCAGGTTGAGGCGTCTGCACATGTGCGCTACGACAAACATGCATCACAAATAAGCCCAGAACAGACGGCAAACGTGCAAAAGCTTCAAAGGCTTCTTTCTCTGCCAGAGCGGAAGCTCCTGCAACTTCCTGGAGTCCAGTCTGCCCTTCTCGAACCGCCAGCACCTTACTTTGAAAGGTCCAGGCCAGAACTCGAAAACACTTATTTGTTCTGATCTTTAGGGGGTAGCGGTCCCTTATGGATTTGCTGATTCAATGACTCTACAAGGGTATTGAGGGGTGGCTGGTTTTGGTTGGTTTGGAGAAACGCTGGATGGGGGGGTTTGGAGAGAGCGGGGCCCCCAGCTAAAGCAAATCTAGCAAAAAGCTCTTGTTGCCGTGACTGCGAATGGGCTTGTTGAAGTGGTTTGGGCTTGGCTTGTCTTGGCATTGACTTTTCCTTACCTTACCTTCATCCCCTTCTTTGGACCATACGTCCTTGCGAAAAAGAAAGTACCGCAAAAAATGCCGCCAGCTATTAGTAAGCTCACCAGCTCTCGAATTGGTCAATTCTCCAAGCTGGGCACCGGGGCAGCATTTGCATGCAGCCCATGCGGCGATTTTGGTGAGGGCCTCAGCCTTAGTATCATCAGCTGGCCCAGAATGAAAGCAAACCTTCCTCACTGACATGCCTGCAAGATATGAAGGGCTGCGCTGAAGGACGCAAATGAAACGAAGCCTAGGCTGCAAGCAACATAGGAAGTGGAACCCGGGTGGGCTGTTCTTGTCAAGAATTGTTTCCTGAAGTGCGATCCATGGCACTGAGCTTGCCATGGCTGTCAAGTGTCTCTTGCCCACATCTGTATTTAAGTGCAACGTGGTGGAAAAAACATCCTCGCTTACATACAGAAGTTGTAGGGCATCCTGCACTGATGCATGAGTTGGCAGGTGGGTTGATAAAATGCGCGCTCAGGATCCCTTCGTGTCATGCTCCTTGCCGAGCCAAAAAGCATGCACAAAAGCAGCGATGCTGCCTGTCCTGCATAAATGCCAATCCCCTCAACCATTGTCAAAGCTTGCCAAGGCAAAACACTTCCAATCCAAGCTTATAATTGTTCTACCTGTCCGCCCCCTTGGCTGCAGTCGTCCCAGTGCAATCAACAACAGCTCCGTACAAGTGGTGCAGGGAGGCAGGTAGAAGTGCTGTATAACATCTGAACCCGGAAGCACGCTATCTTCTGAGGAAGTGAAGAGACTTGAGAAGCGGCAAGATGAAATGAAATGAAAACTAGCAAAACACGTGAGTGAAGTTTGTAAACGTGACAAACAGTTGAAAGCTAAAACCTTGGTCTATCTCCTGGTAGGCCGACAAACGCGATCGATCGTATCCGGTCGCGCCACAGCCCTTTTCAAGGTCTTGAGCCAAACGAGTTGGCGTCCAGTCACACAGTGCATACGGCAAAGCCGATTTCAGATGATGCAATTCTTTACATGACAATTCCGGTCTTGGATAAGTGATCCTAGATTCTTCTTATCTATACATGAAGACATGCAGCCACAAACCTCACTCAAAGCTCAGTTCTTCTTGGGGACGTTTCTAGCTGAGGGATTTCATCTCCCCCCTCTGACTCCTGAGCTGCTCGACGGCTTGGGATCAGTTCTGAATCCCGGGCTATCCAGCTGTTTCGGAAAGGCTCTGTGGCACACTGTATGGAGGTATTCTCTTCGGCTTGTGTTTCTGCCGTTTCTTGTACCCTGGCTGGGTAGGGCCTGTCGTGCCCTGAGGTCCTGTCGCTACGTCTTGCTTGTCCAATTTCAGGCCAGTGCCTGATGTGTGTTTGATGGTGTAACCATCGTGCACTCCAAGGTTTTGGAGGGTTTTGGGCCATAGCGCAGGCTCGACTGCTTTTGTGAAAGCATCGGCTTTCTGGTCGCTTGTTCCAACAAGGCTCAGTTCCACGTCATCGCGGTCCAACTGTTCTTTCACTGAAGCCAAACTCACGCGATGTACGCGCTTGAGATGCCTCAGCTTCTTGGAGTATCCAGCTGTCACGACCTTCGCGCATGCAGTGTTGTCTTCACGAAGCCTCAACAACACAGGACGTCCAAGCATTGCGGAATACAACTCAACCAATGGCAAACCCTCTTCAAAGAGCACATACGACAATGCGACAGTCTCTGCCTCCGTCGTGCTTCGGCACGTAGCCGTCTGTTTCTTCGACAGCCATGCCAAAGCAAACGATGTCCGAGGGCCAGACAACTGTAGCCATCCACCAGTGGTACTGTGGGTGTGTTCATCATCTCCGCAGTAGTCTGCGTCTGCGAAAAGCTCAACAAACACATGCTCCGGCGCATCACGCACATGCCCAAGCAACATAGCGTTCTTGGTGCGTTCGAGGTAGCATATGGCACGGTACAGGTACGCATCACAAGCTTGCGTCCAGGACTGTACCATGGTTGCCAACCAAGTCACAACTCTCAGCAGGTCGGGACGAGCAAGGCGTGCCAACCACATGAGTCTCATTAGAATGCTGCTGGCTGAAGCTGCCAGAGCACCACGCTCATCTGCTCCAACGAACCCTTTGCTGAGAAACGGTGATGCGACCACTTTCATCTTTGGGCTGTTTGCAACCCTCAAATACTCTTGAACAGTAGCCTCAGCGTAAGCACGCATGTCAAAGCCAAAGAACTCTGTGTTGTCAACCTCGACAGTGGAGTGGTGTCGACCAAGAAAGCGACCCAACGGTCCAATGTCATCAATCAACACCTTTTCACCCAACGCCTCCCAGAAAGGCTCGTGCCATTGACTTGGTCCTGAGAGAATCAAGTCGTCCACGTAGACAACCAATGCCAATCCTCCGAAGGTGGGAATGGTGAAGGTGGATGCAAACTCCTCAACCTTGACTGCTCCTAAGAGACACAACTGTTCTTCAAGAAACTGTTGCCAATGGGCCCCAGCTTCTGGGTGTCCGTACAGCGATTTGCGCAATCTAATGATTGGTCTTTTGAAACGAGGGTAGCCACTTGGGGTGAACCAAGATTCAGGCCATAACTCTCTTGGGAGACGGATGTATGTGGCAGCCAAACTTTTCAATTCCGATTGGAGATACGCCTTGACGGCGTCTGCCGACGACAACTTGTGTCCCTCAAAAAGACCAAAGGAAATAACGCTATTGGCTGCAACGATCGAAGCAGGAGACGCAGCAAGCAAGTCTGCAATGTGGATGGTTTCTCCACTCTGCAATGCAGCCTCCTTAACACGGAACTCCTCATCAACCGACTCAAGTTCCCATGTTCCCATGGAACCAACACCATCGAACTCCTTGCGGATCGCCTGCAGTGCATCAGGTCGGGACAACACTTCGTTCCGGGTGAGCTGTCTCGTCACCAGGGCATACACCCCAGCCGCAACATCTTCCGGTGGGACATACCCCTCGGGAAGTTCATCAGGAGAGTACTCGGGACCTTCGGTGGTCTCCGGCTCAACCCAATGTTCCTTTTCTGCTGCTCCTTTGGAAGGGGAAGAAGAAGTTTTCTCTGAACTCTTAGGCATTGGAAGCGGTCCAGGTGTCTTTGGTGCTCCGACATCTGGCGCCGGTGTAGGCGGCGCTGCAGCTTCTCTAGGGAAGATGGCATCAAATCGCTCGCGACATGCCTTGTTGTGGCGATAGTGGCCACCATCACATCCAGGGCAACCCTTCGTAAAACCATGCTCCAACAAGCGTGAAAAAGTAATGTACGCATGACGTGGGGGTGCAACTGAGGTGTCTTCCGGAAAAGCATCAATGTCAATGTCATATGGGAGCACGCCCGACTCAAGAGATCTGTCATAGATCTTCTTCTTCACCTCAACATCAGGGTCAGACATTTCCTTCAACGCCTTCATTGCCGCGTTGGACAAGGGAAACTCAATGTGTTCAACAGGAGGGAAAAACACCTCCTTCTCATGCAAGTCCTTGGGACTCCAATGCAAATGCGCTCTTGTGCGGACAGCTTCATAGTCAACAACTTGCACGACATTGCGATATCGCACGCCTGAGTCAACACGCCATCCCGCAAACAAGCCTGGTCTTGTAGTCGGAGCGGCCATTCCATCGCTCTTGGCTCTGTAGAAAACAAGCGCACCAAGAGGGTACTTCACTCCACGGAAAGGCTCACCTGCGCAAACCTCCCAACGGGTCTTGCCAGTCTTGAGCTCCTCAATCTCCGTCCCACGCTCATGCTTGCGAATCACACAAGGCGACCAAAAGGCACGAGCTTTTGCGGTGTAAACGAGGGAAATCGGCCACATCTTCTTGCTGAAGCCGGCCTGGAGATGTGCGGGTCTGCACAACTCTTTCAACGTCCTCACCTCACGTTCGACGTGGGCCGCGTGAGGCCAATCCCTTGGGATGCTCGGAGATATTGTCCAGCACAACCTGGATGCCGCTCCTGTCAACTCACCGGCCGCATCTGATTTAAAAATGACACCAGTGTCACCGTTCAGCCTATGGCCACCGAAGTGTTTCAGTGAGTTGTAACAGGATTCTTCTGATCTGTCTCTGGCCGGATAGGCCATGCTCAGACCGGAGAAGAGATCAACGATCACCAGGGCCACCTTCTCTCCAGCGTTGCT